AATGTTTTTGTTGGAGTTAAGTTCTATCTTTATTGCCTTGTGGTCTAAGAAGATGCAAGGTGTAATATCTATTCTTTTAATTTTGCTTAGGTTTGATGTGTATCCTAGGATGTAGTCAATTTTGGAGTATGTACCATGGGCTGATGAGAAAAATTTATATTCCTTAGCTTTGGGATGGTGTGTTTTGTATATGTCTATTAATCCTATTAATCCCATTTATTCTAGGGTCACATTTAAGTCCCTTGCATCTTTGTTTAGTTTCTGTTTAGAGAATCTGTCCAGTTCTGTCAAAGGGGTGTTAACATCCCTGAGTGTTATGGGATATCATATTGCTCCTACCCATCAAGGTCTGTTTGATAAATCTGGGAGCATTTAAGTTGGGTACATAAATATTTAAAATTGAAATGTCTTCTTGTTGAATTGTTCTTTTGACTAGTATAGTGTCCATCTTTGTCTTTCTTAACTTTAGTTGCTTTAAATCTGCTTGTATCTGAAAATAAAATTGCAACCCCTCCTTTCTTTTTTTTTTTTTTTTTTTTTTTTTTTTGAGACAGAGCCTCAAGCTGTCCCCCTGGGTAGAATGCCGTGGCATCACAGCTCACAGCAACCTCCAACTCCTGGGCTCAAGCGAGTCTCCTGCCTCCGCCTCCCAAGTAGCTGGGACCACAGGCGCCCGCCACAACGCCCGGCTATTTTTTGGTTGCAGCCGTCATTGTTGTTTGGCGGGTCCGGGCTGGGGATTCGAACCCACCACCTTAGGTGTACGTGGCTGGCGCCTTAGCCGGTTGAGCTATAGGCGCCGAGCCAACCCCTCCTTTCTTCTGATTTCCATTTGCTTGAAATACTGTTTTCCATCCCTTAACCCTGAGTCTTGATTTGTCCTTCAAGGCTAGATGTATCTTCTGGAGACAGCATAAGATGACTTGTTCTTTTTTATCCAATCAGCCAGCTTGTGCCTCTTGAGTGGGGAGTTCAGTCCATTGACATTTATTAAGTGTATTGATAAGTGTGGTGGAATTCTATTCATCTTATTTTGTGAAAGCCTGTTGTGTAGTTTTATCCTTTAGGCCATTGTGGAATCTATGTTTTGACCTTTAGCTTCTGGGTATTTACTTTGCTGGTGGTCTATTGTGGTGTTTCATGTTGAAAATAGGTCTAAGTATTTCCTATAGAGCTGGTCTTCTTATGGTGAATTTCCTCAGTGCTTGTATATCCACAAAAGATTTGATTTCTCCATCAATTTTTAAGCTTCGTTTAGCAGGGTACAGAATTCTGGGCTGAAAATTGTTTTGTTTAAGATTGTTGAAGTTGGATGACCATGCTCTTCTGGCTTGGAAGGTTTCATTTGAAAAGTCTCCTGTCATTCTAATGGCTCTGCCTCTATAGATCAATTGGCACTTACTCCTGGCTGCTTGCAGAATTTTTTCTTTCATCTTGACTTTGGACAGGTTCATTACAACGTATGTGTCTTGGAGGTGCCTTGAGTTGAGATGATCTGGGGTTTGACATCCATCTGAAAGGAATGTGTCGGGGTCTTAAGTAAAACTTGTTCCTTTATGATAGTCTCCAGTAGGGCTTCCATTCCTCTGAGACAATCTTCTTCCCCTTCAGGAATCTCTATTATTTGTATATTTGAACACTTAATGGGTCTCATAGTTCTTTAAGCGCCTGTTCTGCTTTCTCTCTCATCTTTTCTGCCTCTTTAACTGCCTGGGTTAGCTGGAAAACTTTATCCTCTAGCTCTGAGGTTCTTTCTTCTCCATGGTCTAACCTATTTTTGATACTTTCTACTGCCTCTTTACCTTCCCTGAATGTCTCCTTCATTTCCTTAAGCACTGCCATATCCCTTCTATATTCTACATATCTCTCATCCAGTTCTTGGTTCTGCCTTTCCATTTTCTAATCCATTCCTTTTATTGTCTTTATCATCCATATTTTAAATTCCCTTTCTATCAAGTTCATTTATTCTTTATAGGTGGAGTCTTCTGCTATAGCTGCCTCATGGTCCCATGGGGGAGTTCTCTGTTTTGGTTTTTCATGTTGCCCGAATTTTTCTATTAGTTCCTCCTTATGTGTTCTTTCTTCTTGTTCACCTCCTTGTCCTCTTTTTGACTTCTCACTGCCTCCTTTGTTTCAAACAGAAGTCCTTGGTCTTGTTGATAGTATGTTGCAATATGTCTCCCAGACACTAGGTGGCACTACAGTTTTTCTTAGGGGAGAGAGCACAGCCATCAAACTCTATGGTCCTTATTCCGAACTTAGTTGTCTTTGGTGATTGCTTGTTTCCTCAGCATTCAGACCCTGCCGGGTTTGAGGTCTTAATCCTCAAAAGAATGCTTCAGGGACAGGTCTTACAGTGCCCCCTGACTCCATTACCCATGGGGAGTGGATGTCCCTCAGCCTGTCCCAAGAATGGAGTTCTGATCCCAGCAGGTGGAATTAAGATGGCCATGCTTTAGGCCCCTGCTATGACCTTCTCATGGCCTCCCCACAATGGCAACACCCTAGTCCCAGAACACGTCTCAGTATGGGTGCCTCACCAGCCGCCAAACCTATGGCAAGTCCAATTCAACCAGCATTCAAATTTGGTTTCTATATACCGTTCAAGTCTGCCCAGACTTCTAAGGTTTCAATTCAATGCACAGCTTACCCCAACAATTGAAAATTCCAGAAAGACTTCCTCCTATCCCAGGCCTCTGTCAGCAGCCAACCTATCCCAGCCAGTTGCAGTCACTTGCCTAATTGATCAGATTTCCACCCTCTAAATCATATGCTGTGTCCAGCTCACCATCTCTTCATTGTGCTCCCTGAGCTGACTCTGGATAAGGTCCTTGTGCAGGTATGGCTGGGGTCTCTCCTTTTCCCTAGTCATTCTAGGAGAGCTCAGCTGAATAATCCTTCTGGAGCTCCATCTTGCTCCACCACTCCCCTGTGTTTATTTATGTCTCATTACACTTCTCCAGTGCAGTGATGATACTAGACATTCTTGTCTTTTTTATGACTTTGGGAGACATTTTTAAAATGTTTCACCATTAAGTATGATGTTAACTATACATTTTTGAAGATAGCCTTTAGCAGGTTAAGAATATTCCTTTTTATTTCTAGTCTGCTGGTAGTTTTTATGTGCTGTAAGTTTTATCAGATGCTTTTTCAATATTGAGATGATCATGTGTTTATTTTCTTCTTTAAATTGTTGTTATACTGATTTTCATCAATTATTTGAGTGTTAAATCAGTCTTGCTGTACTGGAACAAAGTCTGCTTGGGCATGATATATTATACTTAGTGTATGTCACTGGATTTAATTTACTAATATTTTGTGTCTGATTTTTGAGTCTATTTTAATGAGTGATAATTGGCTTGTGATTTTTTTTTTTTGTAATGTCCTTGTCAGGTTTATATAACAAGATTACACTGGACTTATAAAATGAATTGAGAAATATACTTTCATTTTCTATTCTCTGAAGAAGTTTGTATTAAATTGGTGGGTTTTTCCTTAAATGCTGGAACAATTGTACCAGTGGAGCTCTCTGGGCCGGGAGCTTTTTCTAAGAGAAAAAAGTTTTAGTTTCCTTAATATAGAGAGCTATTCATATTTTCTTTTTTCTCTTTTGTCAGTATTTGGTAAGTGTTGTTTTTTTAAGAAATTTGTTCTTGTAGAGTCAAATACCAAGATTTGTTAATCTCAATACTACCCTATTCAGAGCTACAGGACTAAGATCTGATTATTTCTGTACTTGAAACACTAGTAGAATTCACCATTCCACTTTTTTAGTGGCTTTGTGTTTGGCCACAGATTTTATAAAGTGTGTTTGTATTGAGTGCTTTAATATTTACTTAGAATTTATTAATGTGGGAATTCATGAAATTTTCTCTGATTTCTTCATTTTTAATTGACAAGCAACCTTAGGTTCTCATTTTAGAAAATGAGGAATATGATATATGTCTCTATCTCTCTATTTTTTCTTCTGATTACCTCTTTTATCATCTATTTTTATTTTGGGGGAAGAAATTAATACTGATATAACAGTCTATGGTAGAGGAGGTCATGATTCATAGTTTTAAGAGGGTGACAAAGTGAGACTGTTTCCAAAAAAAGAAAAAAAAGAAAGAAAGAACTCTCTTGAGAATTGACTTTCCTTTCCTCTTTATGGCTTTGTAAAAAAAAGAATCGATCTGATTCTGATGTTTCAACTTATAGCATTCAAGAGGCCAACTAAGTGCTCAATAAATGATTGTAACTGTTTTTGTTATTGTATTATCCTACTGGGATCTCCTCTGTGACCATTATTATTGTTTACTTTCTCTCTTATCTCTTTTAGTGCTAAATATAGAGTGTTTTGTGTTTCTTTTGGTTTTAGGAAAGTCAGAAAAACAATATGATATGGTGGAAAGGGCACAAGATTTGAAATTAAAACAGTCTGGGTTAGCAGATTTACTTAATTGTGTGGCTTTTTTGTTTGTTTTTTTAAGACAGAGTCTCACTCTGTTGCCCAGGATAAAGAGTGTCATGCCATGAGCCTAGCTCACAACAACATTAAATTCCTGGGTTCAAGTGACGCTCCTGCCTTAGCCTGCTGAGTAGCTGGGACTACAAGCACCCACCACCATGCCTGCCTGATTTTTCTATTTTTAGTAAAGACGAGGGCTCACTATTGCTCAGGATGGTCTTGAACTCCTGAGCTCCAGGGATCTTCCCATCTTAGCTTCCCAGAGTGCCAGGATAACAGGTGTGAGCCACCATGTCTGGCCCAATTGTGTGAAATTAAGGGAGGTCATTGACCTCCCTGAGCCTCAGTTTCCATATCTGTGATGTAGAGATGATACTAAAATCTCCCTTTGCTATCTCACTGCCATAATGTGATAATGAAATGAGACCACATTTGTGAAAGTCCTTTCTTGTCCTCTGAAGTGGTTATTATACTGTTATGATGATTATTATCAAATGAATTGTTTTAAATTTGTGAAAAAAAGAATGCAGCTCTTCCTTAACCAGCATAGCTATCTGAAGCCTCTGCTGACTCACAGTGGGCCTCCTCTGACGACAACACTTCCTGCCTGCTGTGGCCCCATCGCCAGGTGCCTAACCAGCCCCCAGGCTTACGAAGTAAGTTGGTTTTATCCCAATACTTAATTCTTCAGTAAATTAAATTTATCTGATATATGGATAGATTAATTTTGTTTTCTTTTGGTTTGGTTTGGTGTTTTACCTTTGAGCTATAAAATCCATGAGGAAATTTAAGCATATTTTTCTCAACCAGAAAGTACACTGAAATCTATAAATTTAATTTACAGCCTTTGAAACAGCATTTGAAAGCAGATACGGGATAGTGCCTCATTTTACTGTGGGTGATTTTGGAAAATAATTCTGTTTCTATGCTGGCTTTCATTTATTTGCAGGATGTACTCTGAGCTTAGTACTAAATGTGTATATTTTCACCTATAAATTAGGGTTGTCACAGTTATAGTGAGAGGATTATAAAATAATTTTTGATGCAGCTAAAGTACAATAAATGGTCTGTTATTTCATACCTACCAACTTTTGGATATTAGGGTATGTTTATCTGCGTCTGTTCCATATTGTTGGGAGGCATGAGCATACCTGGATAGAATCCAGATTCCATATTTTTTCCTTAGCTATCAATATGTGATTGGTGATTCAGTAAATATTGCAAGTAAGGGAAAAAATGACAGGTATGCTAACCAGACTTCATTTTTCTTTTTTTTTT